TGTCAATAAGGATGATGGCATTTGTAGCTGTGGAGTGGTTTTACATCGTTTGATTGGTGTAACGACTTCCATGTTCGATGTGACATTCTTGTTGGACCGGATCATGTTGTGTAAGGTGTTATCATTGCAGCTATACTTGTGTGGCCACCTATGTAGTCTGACCCGGAGGTTAAAAGTTTTATTCTATAGCAATCAAATGTTTGTCCAAGTGGGAGAATGTTAGAATAATTCTATTATGTGGACTTCCATTTGATTGCGAATTTTACGAGTTAGATGTATGGTCTGCAAAACACTATGATTAAGCCCGATATGTTAGTGATCACTTGGGTCGTTGTATACCTTAGGGTTATATTATTATAATGTGGTAATTTTAAGTATGTAGGCTGAAATTATGTAAACCCTAATCAAGGTTAGAATCGGTAATGGGCTAACTTTATAATTTCATATATAATGGCTAGGTCTCCTCCCCTCTCCATATCGTTTTGGTTGTCCCATTGACAGACGATTATTTTGAGGAGCAAGGAGATGAAGATCTAGCTGGTAATATTCATAAATAAAAATGTCTTCCGCATGTATGAATTTTGAACTATCAATTAGAATATGTGATTCTTATTCTTAACATGATTACTATGAAATTATCAACATGGCGGGCCATCACACGTAATATGTTTACTTTGTCAAGCTCATTGAAATGGATCGAAAAGGAAGCCCGGGGAACGAATTGGCAAAGTAAAGTCAAAGAATTGATCTTGCTACTACCGTTTATCTCATATGGATGGCGTGGAATAGGAGGATTTTCGAAAATCTAAGATCACAAGTTGATTGCATTGTAAGACAAATTAAAACATGCATATACAAAGTTATGTTTTCTTTATATCCGCATGTTTTAATTCATTTTGAGTCTTTTGCATCGTGTCCTTATATTCGGTTGTAATTGTCTCATTTTGTTTGTCCGGTATGCTTGGTGTACTTGTATCCATCATTTGAACTTTGCTTGTCGGGGTATGTCCGGTGTACTTGTATATGAGATTTGATCAATAGAATTTTACATTTACCGATAATAAATAAATAAACATGTTTCTAGTCCGTGGCACTCTCTGTATGTAAATTCTAAAGAAAGGGCCAAAAGAATTACCCAAAAATAGGCAAACAAAGGAAAGAGAGAATAGAAAGATGAGATAAAAAGGATTGAGATATAGGGGAAGTAAATTTGAGGGCAGAATGTGTCATTGAATGGCCATTTTGTCAACCCTCTTCTTCTGACTTTTTGCATGCATTGATTGATATTACTACGTTTTGATCCAACCACAGATGATGTTTATTACAACATTTGATTACGACGTTGTTTTTAATTCTCTTAACGATTCTTGTTAATAGTTTTTGTTCAATAGTTTTCAGAAAGGCTATTATTTTGATTTCTCCTCCTTTTTCCTCTCAAGCATTTGCTTCCCTTGAGAATCTTGATTCTCCTTCCTTAATTCGGATTGGGACAAGAATTTGGGACAGCAATATGGGACAATGTTGTTCATGTCATATTCAAAGTTATCATGTCGAGAATCGTGAAGAGGAAAGAGAGGTTAAACATGAAGAAGATATTACATTTAGAGGCCATGCTGGAGCACATGTTAGGCTGCAAGGATCATCTAAATTTGTATCAATGTATACTCAGCAAGGGAAAAAGGGGACTAACCAAGATGCGATGACTGTTTGGGAGGTATATTCATTTCTTTTTCGCCTCGTTTCCTGTAGATCATTTCTTAATTCTATAAAAAATTTCAATTAGTTTATGGGATAATTTTTTTCAATTTCGTATTCCTGTCGTTTATATCCCAGCATTGATCTGCGTGCGTACGTGTTCTCTATGAATGATACTGCTCATCTATTTCGTGATACATTGTTTTCTTTCTATCCTTTGACACCAAAATATCAGATAAATTCAGCTATTGATGCATTTTGTCATTTATTATTAATAGTTTTAATGTTGGTTTGTTCTATGGCCTTTCAACTGAAATGTTCGTTGCCAATTGTAATTCATTGTATTCCTCTTAAATAGGCATTTTTAGCATATGATTGTGGTTTTAAAACTTTCTTCTGCTATGACTGCCTGTTTCAGAATTTTTCGGGTGCGAAAGACACGTTCTTTTGTGCTGTGTTCGATGGACATGGTCCGTCTGGCCACAAGGTGGCACGATACATTCGCGATGTTTTGCCGGCAAAAATTTCAATGTTAAATAACAAGTCATATGCAAATGCTGAAGGGAAAATTGGCAATGATCATCCATTTTTGTCGTCATGGAAATATAAAATAATAAAATCTTTCGAGGAAATGGATGATGAACTTGAGGGTGATGCATCTATTGAAAGTTATTGCAGTGGTACAACCTCAGTGTCTATACTTAGAAAGGTACAATTAGTAGTTAATTAAGCATTGATAATCCCATAATTTTCTTTACACAAGTAATTCTCTTTTTCCTGATTTCATTGCTAATGTTTCAGGGTGAACACCTTATAATTTCGAACTTAGGGGATTCTCGTGCTGTTCTATGCACTCGGGACGACAAAGATCAACTTATTTCTGAACAACTCACTGTTGATCTGAAGCCAAATCTTCCAAGTTAGTGTCCCTTTTTCCTTCTCTAATCATTTTAACAATCAAAAATTTTCATTTTACTATTGATTTCTTTAGTCTAATTTTCTGCCATGTAAACCAGGAGAAATGGAACGAATTAAAAGTTGTCAGGGCAGAGTTTTGGCAATGGATAAAGAACCAAACGTGTACAGAATATGGATGCCCGATGAAGATTGCCCTGGTCTTGCCATGGCAAGAGCTTTCGGAGATTTTTGCTTAAAAGATTTCGGCCTCATTTCAACCCCTGAAGTAACTTATAAAAAGCTGACACAGAGAGATGAATTTGTCGTCTTAGCAACTGATGGGGTAAGAACTCATAGCACACACCATTCAGCAATGAAAATGTAATGGCATGATGTGAGAAATATTTATTTTTTGTTCAGTGCAATCAAACTAATGGAACATATGTTTTCTTTTCAGATATGGGATGTGTTATCCAACAATGAAGTAGTACGTATCGTGGCTTCAGTCAAGAAACGATCCCTAGCAGCTAAACTGTTGGTGGATCAAGCTGTTCGAGTCTGGAGATACAAGTATCCGTGTGCCAAGATTGATGACTGTGCTGTCGTATGCTTGTTCTTCAAACACCCGAGACCTTTGTTAACTAAATCCATATCAGAAGTGACTGAAATCAGCTTGAATCATACAGAGCTCGGAGCAAATGCAAGAACTGATGACGGGCTCGATACAGTTTTGAACTGTAAAGTTGAAGAAAGCCCGGAAAATGCTCCGAATGGTGGTGTTCAGTTGGATTCTGCAACACACCGGCCTCGAAAAAGAACGGTAAAGAAAGTTGATCAGGTTGGAGACTGATGAGGGTTCAAGTAAATTGTTCAAAGCCTGTAAGCATTTGAAAAAACACGATGAAAATAGTTTTAGTCTTAGGGATGACTGGTGAGAATAAGAAACTGTTCTTGAAAAAATGTTTCATGCAAAATTTACATCTTGATGATGAATGTAAAAAGAAAAAAAAAATCCTTCAAAAAATAGAAAGAAACATATGCTGGATATCATGGAATATGCACAATCTATGGAGTGCAGCAATTTTATGTCTCTGAAAAATTAAAATTAAAATTTTCATTTTTCTATTTGAATGTTTGAATTCTTGATATGCTTAATTAGGCACTAATCAACATGATTAAGAAAGAAAAAGAAATTAGTTTGTACAGTATTGTCTAGTACTGTGGTCAACCATGTCGGTCTTTTATTGTACCCGGGACAAACCGGGGTTTGGTTGTGCCTGATAGTCCAAATATAAACAATGTTTTCATAGTTTGGCATAAGAACCCTGCTATTCGTACCGGGG